ATCTCACTGTATCTCACATTAAAAAACAGTAGGTTTAAAGGTGAAAAATCAGTTGCTTAAGTTCGTTGTTTCGCCACGTATTACAAAAAAAAAATTTTTATATGGCGTGACGATTTTTACTAATAAAAGTATTTTAAAAATTATAATTGACTGTATAAATAAATGATCGTCGCCAATCTAATATTAGCCAATCAAAACGAACTTCTTCAATGCTGATGTACATCACTTATAAAACAAAAAATCGTAAAAAAATTGGCAAACTTCGGGATCCGCATTCTTTTCCATTTTTTTTTTAAATTTCATGAAAAGAACCTTCAAAATGCTAGTGAGTTGCGAAATGATACCTAGAAATTAATCTGACAACCTTTTAATTATTAAATAAGACTAGAAAGCAAAATTTGCCTAAATTTTACATATAAAATTTTGATGCGTCGATCAATGACTAAAATTTTACATGTGACATATCAGGCAGTACTAGAGTCTGGTAATTCGGAAATTCTACGGACAGAGCTTAGGGACAGAGCAGGATCATGTGATACTATAAAACCTGCTCTGTCCCTGCTCTGTCCCTAACCGCTAATTAACTAATCACATGATTCTGCTCTGTCCCTAAGCTCTGTCCGTAGAATATTCGCTGGTAATTCACCCACAAAAAAATTTCTGGAACGTGATTTTTAGCCAATTAGATCGAAGGATCAGGTGTAACGTAAAATCAAAACAATCGAATTAAGCGAAAGATTTTAAAGTAATAAGCTTCATATTTAGGGTTAGGAATAAGGCCGAAAGAGAACTTAGCTTATACCAAATTTTACAAGAATTTTTTTTTGTTAGAACGCAGAAGGCAGTTTTATAGGCAAGATTTCGAGTTATTGGCAATTTTTTTAAAAGACGTGATTTTCACGTTACACTTGATCATTTGATCTAATTGGCTAAATTCACGTGTCAGAAAACTTTTTGTACAGAGGTTGGCAGTACTATAAATTAACCCCTATTTATTTAGGTACGATTTTTTTTCTTGAAATTCGTGATTTTCGTTCTGAAAAATGTCTCCTCTAAAAAGAACTAAAAAAATTTATGGTTACAAAAACTTTAAGTCATCGGTTCAAATGGCCTAGTCCCGAATGTCATTATTAATTCGTAAAGTATGAAAAGCTAGAGAATCACTTACAACACATCCATATTACAACAGCACGAGGAATTAGGCTTGATCAAAGCGCGAGACAAATTTAACGCGATAGTGATAGCGATACTTCCAGTTTCAAAAATAATATGTGTGAACAACTTGATGAAATTTATAAAAAGCTAGAGATTGCCGAAAATAAATACTTACCATTAATCGAATAGGGGCATCCTCGAATTAATGAATTCAGGCAATGTCTTGATAGCATTACCTCATTAAAAGTGGAAATTAGTGGATTCAATAAGAAGCAAATTCGCTATATCAATAGTATGTTGAATGGTAAAGTTGCTGCGGGTACGTATTATTAACTGTTTTTCATATCAAATTTACCATAGCATTTTAGCATTGCTTTTCACACGTGATCATGTATAATGCATCTTTTTGGTGAGTACCATTAATAGCAACACTATTGTATCATTCGTTTACTAACTTTTGTTATCAATTATTTGTTTCTTGTAGAAAAAAAGAAAAAAGTAGCAACACTTGTTAGCAAGTAAGTTTTTTAAAACTAAATAGCTCTGTTATAAAGAACTACCGTAAATTTTAGATTATATTTAAACATTAGATTCCGTGAGGAAATTACGATGCTTATGAACGAGCTTAATAAAAAAAATAAGAAGATAACGGAATTAGGAGAAAAATATAAAGATTTAAGTGCGAAATATCACGCGATTAAAAAGGATCACGATACTGGTGATGGTTATTACACGGAAAGCCGACAATTGCTTGAATGCGAAAATACTGTATTAATTCGTCGCGTGAGTTTTTTTTGCTTGATGTGATATTGAATACATTCACTGTATTTAATACTTTGTTATAGAATTTAGAATTTTTTGAGGAAATCGAAGCAATTACAACCAGAAATAGTGAGCTGGAAAATAACCTACAATTAATACAGCAACAGGTAAGTTTTTTACGGTAATAGATATAATGTATATTGAATACTTACTATATCTATGTATATAG